TTATTTGATCAAATTTTTGGCAAATAACTTCAGTTATGGCAACCCATAAATACAAGATTTCAAGACAAAGTTTAGCAAGTCTACCCTTCTTAACAACATTAACACTTCAATATGTCTTTGTCCAACACTCATTTAGTTCATAAATACCTCCTACAATGACTACACAAATTTTTTTTAGTGTGAAAAAGGTTCAACTCCTTCAATAGGTATTTCTTTTTGTTGTTTATAGTTAAGTTAGCTCCAGTAGTTAAATTTAATATATATAGTTGTTCTTCTTCTGCCAATACATTTCACATTTCTGTTAACAATTTACATTTTTGTTTAGTTGCATAAATTTAGTTTCTGCTTTGTTAGCAAGTTTATGTTTCAACCTTTAGTTTTAATTAAATTTTCTTAAGTTTTCAAGTAAGGATCTTAGTTTTATTTCATTTCACTTGGTAGCTAATTCTTTATGTTTTTGCCTTTGATTTACATTTCTACCAATACTTTTAGTTTTTAATTCTAGCTAAGTTTAAAGATTTTTGTCACGCTTTTTAGTTTAATGTTCTCTTGTTACCTTAGTTTTAAATCATCCTTTATTTCTCCCTTGCACTCTTTCTCACTCTTTTTTATTTTGTTTAACAAATAACTTCATTGTGGCCCTAAATATGAGAAATCCCTAATGTTCTTTCATGGCAATTATTTTTGAACCTTCATGCAAAAATGCAATCTCGTTTCAGCTACAATTATCTAGTCAAGGTATTATTAGTGCAATACTTCAATCAAATATTGTTTTTCCATCAACTTTTAAACAAGGTCCTATGGTTGAAAAAAGTGAAAGCTGCCAGAAATCCTTCTTTTTTGCTTTGAACAAAGCAAGTAGCACTCTTGAGCACTTCTACCATGAATAGCCGAGAGGAAAGGATTCGAAGGAAACAATTACTATAAAATTTTAATTTTTATTCTTACTATTTTTTTAATTTTTTAGTCTCAATTGACTTTTAATTGAACTCATAATCATGGAATAATAAATGTTGTACAGTAAACTCTAGACATTAAATCTTAAAATTATAACAAACGTTAACACTCAAAATACTAAATCTCTAAAAATTTAAACCATAATATCTTAAATATTAAAATTTAAAAATCTAAATCCTAACACCTTTAACACCTTAAACATTTAATCCAAATAATATCTAAACCTTAACCTCTTAAAATATTAAACCCTAAAAAATCTAACTCTTAATATCCTAAACATTGAATTTAAAAAAATTTAAACCCTAAAAATTGTCAATCCTAATATTTTAAACCATGAACCCTTTAAATATAATCTAATAATACATTTAATACTAAACCTAAACGTTGCAATCTCTAAACCCTTAAAAATCTAGATCCTTATGCCTTGAATTAAAATAATCTTGTTTGATTTTATGAACTTAAATGATATCTTTGAAAAATAAAAACTTAAAAATTATAATTTTATAAACTTGAGAGCTTTTTAGTTTGCGCCCTTTCTTAGAACAGTGAATCAAACGAGCGTGGCAATGCCAAGTCCGCTTGGCCTTCTTTCGGCATGAGGAGCCCTTGGGCCGCAATATTCTTGCAATATTTTTGCATTAAAAAAAAAAATGAAGGGGCTACGGAGATCGTTGGTCCCGGATTGGGTTCTTGTCATGATAAATTTTGTTAAATTTATAAATTTTAATTATAATTTTTTAATTTATATTTTTTAAATAATTAATTATAATATTTAAAAATATTTATTTATAAATTATTTTTAATATATTATAAAATAAATTTTAATTCTTTTATTAATTATTAATTATTTTTAATAATTAAATTAAATTAAATATTTAATCATTTTAATAACCTTAACAAATTTAAAGTTTATAATCATTTCCTTTAACTTGCGACTGAGGTCTTCTGGCTTATTTTTATTTTTATTTTTTATGATGGTAGGTTCGGTCCCTCCTGAGTTAACCTTACCCACTCTTTTTGACAGGCTGATGTTTGTTACGGATTAGTTAAATCTCTATTCTGATTCTTTTATTTTAGTAGGAAGTTTTTTTTAGTTTTTTTACTTAATTTTTTTTTTAATCCTTAAAGTTTGAAATTGATCTTTTTTTAATCTTTTCATTAAGTTATACACATATAACATGTTAAATGAAAAAAATTTCAAAGTAAATAAACCAAAAAAAAATTAAAAATAACTTTAATTTGGTTTGCTTACTTTGAAAAAGCTCACTTTTAATTTTTCTATTTGAAATTTCTACCATTTAACATTAAGACTTAATGGAGGGACTTAAAAAGAGATTGAATTTCAAATTTTAAGAATTAAAAAAGAATTTTTTAAGTAGAAAGAGTAAAAAAAAAAAATTACCAAAAAAAGAAACCAAATTGAAATTTTAACCATAGGAATTTAAAAAAATATATATATACTTTTTTATGTGTAAATTAAGGGGCTATTTAATAAGGTTGCTTTGTTGATATTGTTTTTGCTCTAAAAAATTTAGTAATATTAAATTAAATAAAAATACAATAATTATAATATCACGTAATATTAAAAATTTATAATATAATATATCTTCATATAATTAATTATTTTTATTTAAAATTTTATTTATAATATTATATATATTTATTTGTTTGATGCCACTTCATGTTTATAATTTTATGTAATATTACAATTATAATATTATTGTAAATTAAAAAAATTTATGAAATCTTAATATCAAAAGTTTTAAAATTTTTCATTAATAAAAGATAACTTTGAGTATTAACCAAATCTCATTTAGGATAAAACTATTAAATATTTTAATATTTTTAATTTGAAGACGTCGGGATGGTAACCTTTTTCAAATTAAAATTAATAATGTTAATAACTTAAAAAAGTTAAATTTTACTTATTTATTTAAAAAATTCATACTTAATCAATTATAAAAAATTATATTTATTACATTATTAACCTTAATAAACCTTTCGTCTTGGGCTACATGTCAAAAAAAAAAAAAAAAACCGCCTAATTATTGGGCTATTCTCGTCGTCGTCAAATTCTTCCCTGGGTGCTCTACTTCACAATTATTGGGCTCTGTGTTTTTCTTGATTTCAGATGATTCCTTCTGCACTTTTTCTAGCGATTCGAATTAGCAATTGCCATCCAATCTTTTTTCTTTAAGTTATAAATTTATCACACTTTGATGTACAAAATCCACAATTTTAGATTCAAAGACCTTCTCTTCATCCTGATTAAGGGACGGCTAGGCTAAGAGGGAAGAGAAAGCTTTGAATATTTTTCACCAGATGCTGGATAGTGGATGCTGCTGCTGCTGCTGGGGTCAGGTTAGGATTTCAATTTGTTCAAATGATTTTTAAATTGTGGTACTCATCATGATTTATGTTAAACTCTGCTTCTATATTTAGTTCTTCAGAAATCTGCCTTTTTTTTCTTTTTTTTTTTTTTAATTCTCAGAGATAATAATTTAGAGATGAGTTCATTTCATTCATGTCCTACATAATGCGATTGAGTATTCTCATCCCTATTGTCACGACGTATGTGAAACAGACAACATTCAGTTCTGTTGCGATATATATCCCTTTCATTTGTTCCCTTTTTCTTTATTTCGTTAGAAGAATTCACTGATGTTGTTTCTACTGCCAATTGTATGTCGGGCCTCTATTTCGTCCTTTATTACTTGTTTGGTTTTAGCGGAGGGGAGGGGAAGGGAAGCGAAGGGAGGTAAAAACATATGCATTCTTTTGTCCCTTTGTTTGTTATTATAAGCCAGATCTCTGCTCTTCCTGGACTATATTGTCTGCATATGGGAATGCTTTTAACATGGAATGGAAGGCGTTGAAAAATTCTTCAGCAACCGAAACGAGGTGGAATTTAACTCAATGCTGTCACATCGGGACATTGGTGAGCGGACTACTAGGATAAGTAATCTCGAGAATACAATGAATAAAGGTTAAACCCCTATTTTGGTCCCTGAACTATTATACGGGTCCTTGATTTGGTCCCTAAACTAAAAAAATCTCTAATTTGGTCCTTGAATTATTATACGTACTCCTGAGTTGATCCCTAAACTATTGTATGGACTTCCAAGTTAGTCCCTAAATTATTGTACGGATGTTCAATTTGATTCATATTGTTTACTAATTTAACCTCAACTTGATCCTTCTATTAAATAATAGCTCAGGGACCAAACAGGGTGAAATTGTAAAAAGTAAGGATCAAATTGGGGTTCATACAATAGTTCAAGGACCAAGTTAGGACAAATTATAAACAGTGGGACCAAATCAAGGATTTCTTTAGTTCAGGGACCAAATCGGGGGTCTGTACAATAGTTTAAGGATTAAATCAGGGATTTCTTTAGTTCAGGGACCAAATCGGGGTCCGTACAATAATTCAGGGACCAAAATGAGGATTTAACCATGAATAAATGCAGTGACGGTGTAAAAGCAATTCAAACCATCATCACCAGTCCGCTACCGTTTATATGGGAAGAAACAGAATTTTAGCAGTATTGATATTTGGTACAAGAAGAAAAGGAAGTAACCAAATTGTAGGATATTTGGAGAGAAGGGTTGAGGGGAAGAAAGTGGTATACATGGTTTGGAACTTGTTGGTATTATGAAATATTAAGTTTTGCTCTTTCTTTCTTCTTTCTTTTTAATTCCTTCTTCTATTGAGCTCAATTGCAGTATCTTAATTCCAAAAAAAGAAAACTTATTCATTTTTTTGCATGCAGGTTCTCATGTCCATACTGAGATGTAATTTCCGTATCTTGATTGATTGTGATACCTAAGTATAGTTTTGTGTTTTCATGGTTGGAATGAAACCAGACATGCCCTAAATACACTATACCCTGGATCTGGAGTTTGTGATAATTCAACATCAATGGAGAAGGTACATTCATCCAAATTCTTTATTTAACTTGTACATTAAATTATTGAAACCTATTTTGTGTAACTCTTCATTGGTTCTGTTTTCAAACTCTTCTTTTAACTAATATAAGATTGGAGATTTAGTTATTCTTTGATTTGGAATATAGTCAGCTGGTATGCAGAGAAAAAAAAACCGCCAGAAAACCTTCTGTTTTTTAATTCACAAGATAATTCAAAAGTAAAGAAAGTAATACTCAAAATAATGTTGTCCTTGACTCTAGACACCACGAAAGAAGCAAAAATGTTAGGAGGCAGTAAAAGCATCTTTAGACGCCTGCAACTAAGTCTAGTGCCTCCTCATTAGCAGATCTCTTCAGCCGTTCAACAGCCTTTGCAACCTGCATAAGCATTTTCATAGATTTAGTGAAATGCAATTGTGGCAAGAGAGAACAAAAACAGTTCACTAAAACTAAGTGTAGTTTACCTCTGCATTCCAATTTGTTCTGGCTGTGAGAATAATCAGAGTAGCTGTTTGTAGAAGAACACCAATAATCATCCCCCACCAGATACCCTGCACATTTCAAAGATTTTCATGTATTTTTTCCAGAAAACTGAATTAGATAAAGAAAAGGGTGGAAATGGGGATTGAATCAACTTACTGCTACTCCTAAACTGGTTTTGAAGCCGAGAACACACCCTATTGGGAGACCAATCACATAGTATGTGGCTATGTTTACATAAGCCACAACAGCTTGCCATCCACTTCCAATGGCAACACCTGTAGAATCCCCAAAAGAGGAGAAAGTAATTAGGGAAACAGTTGTTTGCTTAATTTGTTCTTTACCCGCACAGCCTTTGATCAATGCTTATTACCTGATAGAATGGGTTGAATGCCATTTAGAAAAACAGAGATTGCAAGCAGGGGAGTCAGGTTAGAAACTGCCTCGATAACCTCAGCATCACTTGTAAAGGCTTTGCTTAGCTCAACTTTGAATATCAATACGATTGCACTGAAAAATATACTAATAATAATGCTTGTTGCATTCACCACTAATACTGAAAATTTGGCCACCCTTGGATGTCCTGCCCCTAGCTCATTACTCACTCTAACAGCGGCTGCTGCACTTAGGCCTAACATAAATTGCATGTCCCAATTCAAGTAATTCATGCTGTAAATCAATGGCACCAATTGCATTAGAATTTAATATTTTAATTGCACATGTACCACACATGAATGAGAAAAAAAATATAAGCATAGCAAAATTTTAATGAACATACCAAATAGAAATTGAATCCAGTGAGACTGTTGGGTTTGGGAGAAGACCCGATATAAGAACTAGACCTTGGTTGTACCAAATCTCCAGACTGCATGATTAATAGAATTATAAGGTTGATTTTCAATATTTAGTTAATGTTGTTGTGGAAAAATATGTGTACTAATGCTATATGACAGGTGAGTTAAGTACCAGAGCATAACAGCAGAAGCCATGGTTAGCTTGAAATAAGGCCAGATTCCTTTGAAAGCTCTGGTGGAGAAACCTGTCCAAGTATCCTTGCAAGAAGGGCTGAGAAGAATGTAAAGGCCATTTACAAGAACGAGCAGCCACCAAGAGAAACTGAGAGTGAGGGCAGCTCCAATGAGACCATAGTCAAGAACGTAGATGACAACCCATGAGAGAATAACGTGGATGATAAACACCCCCACAGACATGAAAGCCAGTGGATTGACAATGTTCTGAGCTTGGAGGAACCTCTGCATTGGGCAGCTGATGGCAAATGCATAGAGCTGAGGGATCAATCCTCTAGCAAAGACTTGGCCTTGCTCTGCAATGCTGTCAGATTGACCAATTGCTTTGAGGACAGCACCGGAGTACCAATACAGTAAGGTGAGGAGCACTGCAGCACCCAGGTGCAAGATGATTGCTCTCTGGCAAATTATGCCCATTGACGAGTATTTCTTCGCTCCATAGGCCTGTCCGCACACTGTTTGTACAGCGCTTGCCATTCCCAACTGCATTAAGAAGACACAAATTAGGAAATATTAATTTGTATGCAAGCAAAAAGAACATTCGTGTATTACTTATACGTACCATTATCCCATAAGCAAGACCTTGAATTCCAACACTAGCAATGGAAGCTCCAGCAAGCTCAAGAGAGCCAAGGTGGCCGGAGAACATCAAGGTGACAAAACTAAGCATATAATTGAAAATAGAAACAATAATTGAAGAGCCGGAGAGGAGCCATAGGAGCCTGGACTCCCATGCCGCCAGCCTGGGCCACCATCGGACCGCAACAGGTCCATGTTCAAGAAACTCTTCAACGGCAGCCGAAGACAAGTCTGGAATCCGGGAGTGTGAGTCGAGGCCCAGAAGCAACGGCTGGTACTCGGCCGACCCCATAATGCCAGAGTATCAGTAAACTTCTTTTGTATTTTTGGTAAGTTTGAGTATCAGTAAAACTTATAGAGGCTTTTTCAAAGAAAACGAGGCAAAATATAAGATAAACGACGTTGAACTATATAGTGAAGATGACGAATGTAATTATATAACTACCATTCTTTGTGGGAGAATTGGAAGATTAGTTAAATCTACCAAAAGACTGAACCGAGTTCCAGTACTCAAGGCGTGTTTGGTGATTGCACGTGCCAGCAGCTCAATTAAGTAGTCCAAACCCAAGTTATTATTTTTGGCTTTAAGTCCTTTCTTTTTTTCTTTTTTCTTTTTTTTTTTTTGTTTTTTTCTTTAAGGCTTTCGAATGAAGTTTGTTGATGTTACGTTTACTTGTACCAACCACCTTACAGTCCTTAGTCTTTTTTTTTATTATTTTTTTAAACAAATTGACAAAGATGGATTCAAACTCACAAGAAAGAGGAGAAGTGTACCTCTAAAATAATCCCAAAGCCACTTGACCGTTCGAGTCAGGTGCATCCTTAGTCCTTCTCTAACCTTGAAAAAATATTGAATTTGCATTCCCAAGACCTTTTTAGATAGGGAAATCATGCAAATTAGCCCTTAAACATGTTAAGAGATGGCAAAAAAGCCCCTTAATTGAAATCAATGGCACATGACCCCTTAAACTCATAAACGGTGGCATGGCAAATCAGCCATTGTTTACTGGCTATGTTGGTATTCCGTCAAAACTAACGGTTCTTTGGTTAAAATGAAGTCCACAGCTTACTTGGATGCTATGTGGCTCATTAAAATCTACCATGGTCTCTTATGTCATTAAACCATTAATATTTTTTAATTTTCTTAAATATTCTATTAAGATTTAATTACTATAATTTTTTTTCATATATTAAAATTTAATTACCTGGAAATCAATTGAATTAATTAAATCTCAATTGTCACTTTGTCAAATAAACAAGAATCAAAAACCCTACATAATGCAAAATGGTTTCACAACTAAGTAACACCTCTTTTCGCTCATAAAAATTATCTCAGTTTAAAAATTTTGAAGAACCAATTGTAAATTTAAAATTTAGACAAAAAAAAAAAAAAAAAGAGAGAAGAAGTTTGAAGGAAGAGAAATTGAGAACTACAAAGTTACATGAACTAATTTTTATATATAAATTAATAGTTAAAGGGTGTATTAATTACACTTAGATTAGAAAAATCATTATTGAATTTATTTATTTTTCTACTTCTTCTTTTAAATAATTTTCTAATTTGTCTTCTAAGAGTAGATTAAAGATATATTTACTTTTTATTATTAATTTATATAAAAATAATAAAAATTAATTTTGATTTTATCAACTACGTAATTTTACTATTTCATGTGACATTAATATTAAAATAAAATTTATTTTTTAATTTTTCATATAAATTAATAATAAAAATATATAACAGATGTACTATTAATCTATACTTTAAAGGCACAAATAAAATAACTAAGTTAAAAAATCTTTTTTTAATTTACTTTTTAATTTCATGTTTAGAAAAATGATAAAAAGTTTAAAAAAAAAAAAAATGGGGGGCAACATGAAGTCTAGCTCGACGGTAGACCCTACAAAAACATGAGCCCGATTAAGTTTGGACGGAATGATGACATTAGCTGTTGGAGAAGGGCCGATTTGCTACTGTAGACGAGTTTAAGGGCTCGTGCTACTCTTTTTGGTTTAGGGGTTTTTTTTTTTTTTGCCACTTCCCAACAAGTTTAGGGGGTAATTTGCATGATTTGCCAAGGTAGTTTAAGCTAGCTAGTTTATTTTCCTTTTGGAAAATATGTACCTCTACCCAACCAACAAACTAAAAAAAAAGTTGCGTCATGACCGGACGGGACAGGTTATGGTGACTGAGCATAATGTTAAAAAAATAAAAAAACTATAGAGTATTATTTTAAATAAGTATTAATATTATTTTATTTAATTAATAAATATAATTAATAATTATATTACTAATTAATAATTGATTAATTTTAACAAATTAAAATTACTAAATAAATTAATATTTTCAGACATTATTTAAAAAAGAATTAATAACTTAAGATTTTTTTTTTGGTACATAATAACTTAACATTTTTTATTGTAACGATAATTACATTCTTGACATTGGTATATTATTTTAAATGGTGTGCTCTAAATCATACAATAAATTACTTTTTCCTCAAACTATTACGGTTTGGTAAAATTTTTTATATAGTACTTTGAGATTCATGGTTGTTAGCTAGACTGCCCAAACTAATGACGGATTTAAGAAACTCGTTTACATAATTTTTCTCCTTAAATCCTTAGTAAATTGAAATTTTTTAATTTTGTTGAAAATTTTATCTATTTTAGTACCCTTGTCTCAAAATAATTATTGCTTTTTTCACTTTTTTCACAAATTAAAATTTTTGAAATAGTTTACATATTTTCCTATATTACCCTTAAGAAAATAAAGATAAATAGAAAATTTAAGTGATGAGGTGGATAATTAAAGTTAATGTTTAATGATATGGTTAAATGAGGAAAAAAATTTGTCTACCTTTAAAAGGAAAAATATAATAATTAATCTAAAACAAATTCTAATTCAAAAAGCCATAGTTATTTATTTATTTTTAATCAAAGTCTATAATTACTAATTCTCTAATTGGTTTCAACTAATTCATTTTTTTCTTTTTAAGAACATTATTTTTAAGTTTTACATCAATTTATCATTATAAAAGATTATATTGCCTTAACAAACAAAATTTGCAAATTAGAAAAAATAATTAAAATTTGTTTTGCCTTTATTTAATAATTATATAATTTTTTTCTATGTTAAAAATAGAAAGGAACTCGTTATTCATACTTGTAAATTTTATT